TTTCTATTAATACGACAAAAACTCAACTAATTTGTTTTCATAGCCCATTAAAACGAGTCAGTCTCACTTCTCCGCTTTTTTTGCACACGTCTAATTGTCTTAATTGCGCGTGTTTCCCTGTGAATTACACATCTACAGTTAAATACCTTGGTTTGATTTTTGATAGCGATCTTGCCTGGAATTCACAACTCGCTCATATCAGTAAGAAGCTTCGCGCGGTGTCTTGTTTGATGTACAGTGTTAGATACGTTATGCCATTATCCGTTCGTAAGCTTATCATTCATGCCCTGGGCTATAGTGTGCTTCGTTATGGAATAACTGTGTACGGCCACTGTGCCCTTCGATGGAAAATAAGAATCAATTCAATTTTGCGTTCTTTGTTAAAAGTTATTTCTTATGATTTAAGTCTTGATAAAGATACTGACGTATTTAGAGCATTATGCTTTCCGGATTTCGACTCTCTGTTGATAGAAACTGTAGTTTTCCGTCATTTCTGGAATAGTTCTTTTAAAGTACCTTATGCCCCAGCCCGTTGCCTAAGGCCAAAAAAACGTTACTGTATACCTCGGTGCAGCACAAGATACGGCGAACGCATGCGCCGTTACTATGTTCCCTCGTATTTTAACAAGCTTCCTATGAGTATTTTTTGTGCTAGTACAAAATACAAACTGAAAAAAGCGCTCAGAAATAGAATTGTATAAAGATTTCTTTTCTGTGTGTGTCATAGCTTGATTTATCTATGTGGGGTTTTGTGTTTCACTGTCATTGCTTTATTTTGTCACTGTCTGCCAGGCACTACCGTTCAAGCCCGATGAGGCTTCGGTAGGCCTGAATCTGTACATGCTATTTTTTCATTCAATAAAAGTATTATTATTATTATTATTATTATTATTATACGCACCAACATCGTAAACCACTTGTCAGAAACGTGTGTCCGGCTTTCGTGAAGGATGTGAGAGCAGTTCACGGTGCAGGCTACCATGCCATTCGCTCGCTTCGGGATCTCGGAGGCCATAGACCATGCTTCTAGGTTGAAGAATTGCCAACCAAGAGCTGAGGTCTCTTTTTGAAATCTTCTTGACTTGAGTTGCAATAAGAAATATTAATATTTGCACCTACCGTATGATCGTATCATAAACATTGTGAGTTTTCCACGTTGAAAGTATGTCCAGATTGCTCACTCGTTGTCTCGAGTTTACCAGTTCAGGTCCATGAGACTCGGGAGATTATTACCCTTTTGAGACATTTATAGCACCAGCATTTCAAGACACTAAATTTTAAATTTATTGCTAGGCCTCACGTGGTGTCTAAACGTTAATGGTGATAAAAACGCCTCGTATCATCGACGATATGACTATGAGTGTTTGTAAAGATTGTTTCACCTCATTGCGGCTGTGTAAACGGGAATGGTAACTTTACAGGAGCAAATACTAGGTCCAATAGGAAGATTCTTTTACGAATAAAAATTTATTATGGAAATATTAACATTAAAATATTTTTGTGCATTCTTTGAGTCTCACGCTATTTCAGTCCCAGGGAATAATACGTTTCCTCAATACTAACGATAGAATTTCGAATGTTTCAAAAGGTGGTCCATAGGATCCAATGCAAAGAAATATGTTGGACCTAGGAATAAAAAGTATACTTTCCTGAAGTTTTTGATGAGTAATAATTAATATATTATGGCCATTTATACTTCATCCGTGGAATAGTACGATTTATGTAGGGTCTCGGCTGTATTGATACTTTTTTTTCTTGGGGCGAAAGACCTGAGTGTTCCAAAACATTCAGGATGGAAAGGCATGATGACATATGTTAAGCAGCCAGCATGTACCCACGAATATAACGTTTACTGACTAGTTATTAGGGATGAGAAAAGAAAGAGGCCTGGACGGCATGACCACTCCCTCGGTCGGGAGCCTGCGAGATTCGGCTAAAGGGAAGTGTAGGGTTGGCAGAGGAAACGCAGCAACATCAGAAGGATGAAGAGGGGCAAGAGAAAGAAATGGGCAGTGGCATTTTTCCTCTCGGCCTGTACAGTGTCACTTGTGCCTGTCATGCAGTACTATTCTTAACCTCATGCTTCCTATCTGATATTTCGTCTGCTTTATGTCCGAAATTCGGGTTCTCTGTTAGTAACTCTGCCGTCGAGGAAAACAAAACGGGCAAGATTGTGAACTGTTACGCATATTTTGGAATTTTTTAGGAAGCCTTGACTTTATATTTCACACACGCATGCACTCAAGGAATGTACCTATTTTTTAATGACTAATCAATCGGCCAAGCATCGTAAAAAAAAACCAGATCATATACAGCAAACATTCATATTTCGTAAACTCGCAGGACGAGGAGTACCATTCAGACATACTACCATCATGCTCGACAACAGGTAATCAGCGTTGTTCTTATGCAAACCCTTCTGTCCTCTGCCCCAACCCTTCAAATAAGAAATTATTTGAGTTAATTTAATTTCGTGAGGATGAATAGCCTGCATTCTGGCTGTCCTCGAACAAACCTGCTAAGCGTGACCGCCGTATGCGAAGGGCTAGATCAGTGGGACGCTATCCCCACCTTTTTCTTCCCGACTAAGGTAATAAGCCGAAAGATCGACCACGATAAATTTGAGTGCGAAAGGGCGATGGTTGCATCTCAGCTTTTCGATGGGTTGGACAACCGCCTAGATGTGAAATGCTTATAGTTCTAGATTGATGTTTTAGGTCATCTACTGTAAGCTATCGCTGAGTGCATATTTACACGGTCGCTGTGTCAGGGCTCGGCCGGGTCTCGTGTTTTCACCGATTAGACACGAAGACTTGCCGAGCGCTGACGCGACGCTCGTATCCAATCAGCGCCTCGCACTGGCCTCCGACGAGTGACGTACGGAATCCTGCAGTATACGGGCTTCTTGTTGTCTGGAGGTATTGGATCGGAGCGCTTTTTCGTAGCACTAGCCTCGACCGTACTCACGGAATGATTTATACTGTCCTTCCTGGCCCAATTTGACTGCTGAAACCACAATAAGATCGTGCCACTAAATAACGTATTCTTCTTTTTTTAGTAAATAGGTTGTTTGAAAAGGTGTCATTGCGCAACTACCTCCTAGCGCGCCCTTCTTCAATATGCTGTTATTTTGTTTCGCTATTTTAGCTTCAAAAAATACGTCCGTATACCGTCTTCGATTTTTTTTTTTAATTTTGGAAATTAGGAAGATGCGACAGATTTTACTAAATTTGAAAACAAAAGAATGTGATGCCTGGCAGGTTTTCACGTTGAAATTAGTATAACGAAAATGATGTACTCAATATTGCTATCTGGAAGAACACTCAGCATGGCAAAGCTGCTCTTTGTTTGATCGCTTTCTTTGTTTGCTTAAATGTGGCTTAATAAACGCGTAATGTAAAAAAGGTTCCCTATTTATACTCTTTTTTTTTTTTAAGTGTAAGATTTTGGCTTTCTAGAGTGTCGTATCTGGGAAGTATTAAAAAAATCACTTGGTAATTGTATAGACAATATTAAAACAGAAACATGTCAATCTAATGACGATTTTCAAACTTCTGACTTCATTTAATCATTTGTTCCCGATAATCAAGCTAGACTCCGACATTCTATTGAGCAGTGTCATACTATTAGTAGAGAGAAAGATAAATTAATTATTGCTGTAATTGTGTGTCTTTCAAAAAATATGCAATGGGATAACCGAGAAATTGTAACTGCTGCGTTGCATGCTGATACTCCTTTTCTTTCTTTATTTTCGACTCACATTTGAGAACGTTGATAGAGTTTACTGGGTGTAACTGGAAAGGGTAGGATTTTCCCCTGGCTCCCGTATTCCATATTCGAATAGGCTCGCTGGTAGTCGTTTACCGTGTTTCTTCGTCTTTGCATCGGTCTCTCTTAGTTAAGCGTATTGCTTGTTTTACGCCACAGATTTCAATGTTCAATATTAATATTAATAAAACACCAGCATGACATTTTGCCTCCAAGATACTAGTTGTCAGCGCTTCATTTTTCCTGCTCTAATCAAAACGACGTCAGAATTTAGTTGTGAAAAGTTTCGTAAATTATTTTGAACGGTTCACGAGATGAAAAGAATAGACAGACTTACCACAGTCGTGCCATATATTGGATATTAATATTCTGTTCACTTTAGAAGTTTCACCGAGCCATCGAACCCCCATACATACTAAAATTGGTTTAACTGTAAATTTGCAACAAACTTCTAACACTTCCTTGTATCTAGGGTTCGCGAAATCTTTCCTTCGAATTATCCTTTCAGATACAAAAATAACTAAATCCTTTTTCATATGGTTAACTTGATTGCAGTAGCTTATTGTTTTTGCGTATGACTGTCATTGATTAATGCGGCTGCCTTTTAGAAACTGGTATCTAGTGTGTGCCCAGTGTAAAGTCGTGTTCCCGCGTACCAGCTAGAACCTGATCTACTCTGATCTCTGCCGTCATAGCGCCTCTACTCATTGGACTTACAATAAGCCTTGCGTACACAGTTCGTCCCCAAAAAACCAATTCGTTTCCTGCATTTTGTGCTTGAAGCAAAGAGACCAACGGAAAGTTGGAGTAGTCCGCCTGTCTCTCCGAAGTCTGGCTTTGGACCTTCGAAGAACGTCGCCACTTCGCGCGCACACCAGCTTAGATGCTCGTCGCCAAAACGATAGAACTTTCACTTACCGTAAGTTCCTTGTGAGAGATCGACTTAATCGGAGGAGAGATCCAGATGTCTGGTGGTAAAGTGTCCGCGGCCGTCGACGTCCCAAACTCTCGATAATCCTCGGCAAATGGGAAAGACCGACGAAGGAATCAAAAGACGCTCGAAGCAACACCGATACCAACAAAAACAAGAACCGCACTTCACATTCACGCCGAGGAATACTGTCCCGTCACCGAAGGTCTCAGCACCGATCGGGTAGCCTACGCTGTCCGCGCGTGGGAGCCGTCACTCATCTTCTTCAGATTGCCTAAACGATGCGTTCCTTCCTGCGCAGGTACGCCGAGAGTCAGGCCGTGGTCGCCTTCTGGGAGTCCTTGGGTCTCTCCGGCGGGTCCCGAATCCTGAAGGTAAGCGACGCTGACATCAATTCAGTCAATCCACTCCTTGTTCTTCGCGACTTCGGTGCCCCCTCGGACTCGAGGATGCGTCGTCGACGACGACGACAACGACGAGCGCGCGCAGCGATCGCAGTCGCCCGCGTACCACCACAGTCGGAACCGCGAGAACAGGCGTCACTCGGCGATGGCTGTCTCCATGAGGGTTTCTGGTGGGTGAGGAGAGCGAACCGAACGAAGACCACCAACTGCGGGTGTTTGTCACGTCGATGCCGCTATGCCGCGACTTCGGACCCCGACTGGGGATGAATCACACTGCGGAGAAGGCGACTTTTTTTTTTTAGCTTTTAGATGGGGAGGCGAGGGAAACGGCGTAGGAGTGGCACGGCCCGCTGCTGCCTCTCTGTTCCGCTGACCCCTCTCCGGTCGGGCCGCCACAACGCCCGCGCCCTCTTTGGAAGAAGGGAGGCTGGGGAGGAGGAGGAGGAGAGTCCACGCGGCGCGTGCGTCGTGGGGCGAGAGAGCAGCTCGGGTCGAACCATTTCCCCGGACCCGGGGTGGCGGGCGCGCCGCGGGGATGGAGATGCTGAGGAGCAGGATCGGGGATGCGCTCCTCCCGCATCCTCCCCATCCCTATCGCGCCATCTTGCGCGTCTCTTTCCAACTACCTTACTATCCTCTTTCTCTTTCTCCCTCTGTGTTCTCTGATCTTTCTCTCCCCCTCTCTTCCGTCTCTCCGTCTCGCTCAGCTGCCCCCTTGCGTTCTCTTCCTCGGCTTCCAGTTCGTCCTCTGCTTTCCTTCTGTAGTCCGTTTTACTCTATGGTGGACCGCTCACGAGGCTACGAGCAGCCATCGAGGCCCATTCAATGCCGTGTGAGGGTCACGTGACCTTTCTGAGGGTCGCAGCGACGCGCGGGGAAGGGAGGGGCGGTGTAGTCACGTGATATTTCGAAGGCGCTGTATTGGCTGGGATGACCCCGGCGCTCCATCGCTAGGCGAAGCGAAGTACAGGAGGGATGGTGGTGGCGGTTTGATTCAAGGGGGGCGCCAGTACGGTGATATGTCACCTCCGGACCGCCGCTTTGAGTACGCGTTTTTTTGTTGGGAGCCCATCGCTGTCGCCGCGCATGCGCGGTAGTAACGTCCTTGTCTGGGATGGGGGAGAAAATAAGGGGAGGGCGGAGATGAGATGGACATTGCGAACAGACTCGTCCGGAGGTTGGCTGTTGAAGAGGGAGTCAGTGACAGAGGTCGTTGATGGGGAGGGTGGTGTTCGTGTCACTTTGATGAAAATGCGGACACAGACGGTGCAAGTCTCAAGGCAGAAGGAGATGAAAGTGGCGTATGTTTAGGACCGATCACTTTTCTGGCTTCTGTTTTGCAAAAATCGGAAACTTAAAGACACACTGAATTGGGAAAACAACTATTTAAAAATGATATATATGACACATTTTAGTTTTTCACGGAAAAAATATTTCGAGCAATATCTCCGTTGTTCGGCGCAATGTGTGTGTTTTGGGGGGGGGGGGGGGGGGGGGGAGGGGGGGGGGAGCGAGCGAGCGAGTAAGGGAGGGAGGCAGGAAGGGAGGGGAGTAGAAGCCCTGCTCCAGGCACCGCCTATAACGAAAGATCCTTAGCTAGCTAAGCACTGTTTCTCGGCTTGCGCTGGTTGGAGAGATGATTGACGTGTGAAATGTTCGTTCTAAAATTGTTTTTCCGGGTCGTAATAGTATTTTGATCGCCAATATCCTTATGTTTGAGAAACAAATAATTAAAAAGAGTCATTATTTGTTATAATCAAGATCTTGAAACTCGCAGAGAACCGCCTCCAGATCTTCCACGTTGACTGGTCTGCTAGTCAGCGGTACAACAGTGTTTGTAAGGCTTAGGACGGAGGTTTTCAAAAATATATTCTGAGATTACCTTTCTCCCCTTCGGTCTTAAACGATAACAAACATGACTGCAAGCGCTTGCGGCGTGCTCAACGAGCGTAGCTGGTCGAGCTCGTTTATTTTTATGAGCGCGAGTCGTTCTGCCTTCACCGAGGTGTTTAGGGGATGATCTCCTCGACCGACCTAGAGTTTGCGGCAAACAACTCACGCAAGTCGACACCTTCGGAAGCGCTGTGGTGCGGGTGCTTGTTTTCGTAGCGGGAGTGCCCTAAGCGAGTCCTCGTCAAAAATGTTGCTCGACCTGCCTCGATTTGTACCTTGGGGCGTGTTGACGCTGGAAAAAAGGTGCTGGTTCCCGTAAAAATGGCCTCGCCGCTTTACGAACGGCCCCCTTTCAAAAGTCAATCACCATTTTGGGCACGAAGCCCTTGATTGGATCCGATTCTTCGCCGAACGCTGACATCATACTCGTTTCCAATACGAGCTGAGCCGAGCTCACGCCGAACGCTGACGCAGCTTCGTGTCCAATACACGCTCAGAGCACGTGATCGAGCAATGGCGGACAAGCGTGGGCGCGGATTTTTGAAAAAAGGTCTATTGTGCAACCGTCGTGATTGCATCCACGGTTTCAATACCCAGACGATACCTACACAGGTAAGAATATACATTGGCTGGAGGAGATCGGGCGTTCGGCTCGCGTCAACCGTCTCGAGGGACGTTCTTTCCATTCGGACGAGCGGGGTCAGAATGTGTTAGTTCCCCGTCACTTCCCTTGTCGGGAAAGGAGTGCGTGTTTCTTTTCTAGATCGGAGAACAACGACGACTCTAGAAACACGGGTCGTCCTTCTTAAGTGATTTCTTTTTTTCTTTGGCTTTTTGGTTTGGGTTAAAGCTGTATTTATACTCGTTGTCAGATCCGGTGAAGCTCAGTTGTAACTCAGCGCCGTGTCTGTCATCCGTCTTCTACCCTGTCCGTGTCTCTGCGTTGTTTGTTACCCGTTGAAATGGAACTACCAGCTAGCCCATTCGTCAACGCTTCTAGGTTCCGTCACTGTTCGCATTCCGTTCGAACTCGATAGTACATGAACACCCGGCAGTTTGTTTGTTCATAATATCACACCTAGATGTGTTTGACGTCCTTAATTGTTTCTGCGGTATAAACGTTCGCGTAATCGGTTTATTTTTTAATTAAAAAAAGTACACCGTTTTCCGTCCATGTCTGGTCTTTCTAGTTTTTGTTAATTATCTGATTAAGATAACCAGTTCCATTCAATTAATTTATTTAAATGCAAAGATTGGGACTTCCCGCTTAAGAAACTGTAACAGAGAGCTTGAGAGTGCCTGGAGCCCTCAATATGGGACGCCGAGAAAAAGCCGTTTGCATGAAAATCACTCGAGCGGGCGTTGTAGATGGCGAAGAGAGATTTCCTTTCAGTGGCTGCAGCGAGGCCGCAATCTACGTAGCGCATCTGTTCAAATAAGTAAAGGTTCTTGATGTGGCGCTTTGCTTTCCACTTTTGCCAAACTTTCTGCGGTTTCTTCTCTTGTGCCCTTTAATCCTATTTGGGAAATTTTACGGAAGCCAAATGTCAGATTTAATTCGACGCGTCTGTCACTTATGTCATACATTGACTACGTCGTAAGCAAATATATATTTCTTACGGCCAACATTCTGAAATGCTGTTGATGAGTAGGGCCGATAGTGAAAGCCGATGATGAAAGAAATGTCATACTTGAACAGAAAGTTAAGGCGCAACCGAGCTAGTGAAGTCTGAACATAATTTTAGACAAACCCCTGAGACTGGGGAAAAGACGAAGGACAATACAACACACAGTCTCTCAAAACACACAGAATCTGAGTCTGATAAATGGCGAATGAAGTTATCTCAAAGTCATCATCCAATGAATTCTGCGTTATCCAGTGGTGTGACGTCGCATTTTGTATTACTTGCAAGTCGAGCTATAAACCTAGAAAATACTTTGCGCTTTTTTTATGGGTGAGTTTTTTTTTTATTGTTATTATTTTATACCATTAAAGGAGCTGTGCAACGATATTCAGTTGGAATGTTTTTCACTTTACACGAGCTCACTGGCACTAGTAGGAGTCAAGGATACTCGCACGCAACTCCGCTGGCCAAGAAACTCCTTTGTTGCGGTGTAATTTCAAGGACAAAAGCGATTATTTTCATTCAATCTCTCCTTTGCGAAATTTCATGACGTAGCGTGGGTATCGCAGTACACCCATATGACGATATTTGAATGCGGTTCATAGATTGGACCCGAGCATTGCGTGGGCACTCGATTTGGGCTCGTGATAATTACTAGCTCGAGAAGCATTCGGGTAGTGGCCCGTGTCCAATCGCTGCAACGACGACAATAGCCGAGCCATAACAATATCTGGAACTGAGCGCGTGCCCTGCGCTTTGCCAACCCCAGCGCGTGGCTATGATCAACATTGGCGGCATATAACGCATATAATCGGCTCCAGATCACGTGGCCGCTTGTTCTGGCTGCGAGTTGAGGGGGTGAACGCTGCTCGTTTTTCTTTAATTTTTTTCTGGGACTTCTATTGCGTGGGGTGAAAAACGAACACGTGTTTCATAAGTCATTAATGTCAGGGATCCGTTCTAAGCGGTATTTGCGCAAAGTACAAACATTGTTGCATCGCCCCTTTAAACATTTCATGATAAGCCGGTAACAAGCTGTACTGCCACTATCTTACAACATTGGACGGATGGATGCTAATCTGTGTACTCTCCGTAATGGGCGGAAGCTCGCGCCACCTAGCGTGACGTAATGTTTTCAGTGTGACCAGCCGGGCGTTTCGACCTCTGAGACCAAATTTTAAACTTCAATAAATTCGCAAAAGAAAAAGATGTATTTCGCCTTGTAATTTGGAAGACTAGTCTAAATTTGTATATTATTGTGTTAAACCAGTTTTGAAGCAAATCACTTACTCAAAATTTCGCCAGAGGTCCCCTTTAAATAACTCTAGACTGAAGCTGCTTAATAATCTCTATATATTGCTTCCTGGAAATGCGTCTGTTATTCTCGCACGTGTGTGGGGAGACTTGTCAGTACCGAAAATACCGCGTCCACTCAGGATTTCGCAAAACAAA